TCATGATCGACCAGCAACAGGGAGAAGCCTCTTCTATGCACTACAAAACAACATTTGCAAAGACGTAAGGGGGTTAATTATTTGCTAGTATCAAATATTAAAGATGACATGAAAATGAATCCATCGTAATTGATGCACATACCTTGCGGTTCCGCACATTTCGAGACAGGGTCGGTCCCGCCTCCATTTCCATCTAAGTCACAAATCCCATGTGTACTCAATGTCAGCAAACATAAGTAACATATAGTAGATCAAAAATTAAATGTAGTACACATACCATGCAGTGAAGTACCAAAAACTGTGGGCTCGTTTGCCGCCTGAGCCGTAGGTGGAGTACTTCTAAAGGGAGCTGGGGGGGCGAGGGTAGACATGAAGTGCCTGACCTTCACAAATTCATCGGTCACGTGCTGCATGATCTCAAGCTTGACTGTGCGGAGGCGAATTTCGATGAGCGTTCTTTGATCCAGCAATAGTTCCTCCATCTCAGCTCTCGTGAGGCTCGCTCCAGAGGTTTGATCTTATCGTACATAAGATCTGGAGGGTGCATGAAGGGGAGAAGTACGTCTGTGCATGGGGGGAGTGGAATATGTCCCAGTATGCAGTGTACAAGTGTGCCCATCCTCACTGTCCTCCTCGTCCGAGGCCTCTCCATTGCTGTCTCCACTCTTATCACCTCCAATCTCCTCACCGACTCCCTCGTCGTCACTGTTGCCCGATTCATCATCATCCTCGGAGCCTCCTCCACTGGAAACCAATGCGCACTCCCCCCTCGAGTTTCCAACATTTCCCCCACTGGCCAAAGGCTCTGGGCGAAGCTGTGAAGGGATAATGTCCTTTGCAACGTCGTCCAACGCAAGTACACTACGGTCTTCAAACAGCAGGAGGGTGGAGATATATGGTTGCCCAAGCTCGGCTTCGGTGGGACTAAGCGTCGCGGACACATGCAGCTGCAATATAAAGGAACTGTGTGTCACCACAAATCTAACGACTAACGACACATGCAGATCGCATGCATGAAATGCAATCCAATACCTTAATGTTCTTGAAGAATGCATCATATGTCCGTTGCTACGGCTGTTTGGTACACGTCCAACTCAAAAGCCGTGGGGATTGATGTCCCAATCGCCGAGCAAACCGATCCCCAATGTCTGGGATTGCCTCAAATGCCCAAATCTGTTACAGCAGATAGTAAGTGTGGGTTGAACATTAAAGGAACCAATGACAATACATTTCTGATGAAATAATGAATACGTTGTACAAAATTTGTGTGTAGTACCTGCATGGCAATGGGAAAGCCGTGAACTGTCTAAGTAACCGCCTTCTCCTTCTTATTTGTGGCATTTACAAATTTTCATCCCAGACTGCGTCGGAAGCCCCTTATTAGACGAATGTACGATACTCTACCCCAAGCGTAGGAATAGAACATGTCCAGATCGTCCACGATCGACAGCATGGGAAGTTCAATACCGGCATGGCTATTCGGAGCATTGAACACTCCTTCGATGATTAGAGCAAGCCCGAGCTTGTACCGATCTGCCCGGGGCGTCGACGGTCGAAGAAATGCCTTCTCAAGTTCGCCACATGAAATCCTATCCGTTGATTTGAAGTATTTATCCTTCAATCTCCTCTTTCGCAGAACTCAGTCCATCGCGGCGTCGTCTGGAAGAGGACTACACATTAAACCCGTGACGAGAGCATACTCTTGCAGGCCAAACCTGGCTAAGTGGCCTTGCACTTTGAACCATATTTCGCAGGCCTTTTCAGTTCGTATGCAGCGGAAAACGAGCTGCTGGATTAGTTGGACTGAGAATTGGAGATCTCGAACCTCGGATAAGAACCCTAGGCATGAGTTACGGAAGTCCGTACGCTGCCGGTCATCGAAATGCTCGAGGACTGTCTTCACGTACCGTAGATTGCTTCGCCGTGAGATGTGGGCCCTCAGCCACGCATTCTTTGGAACTAGTTATTCAAAATCCATGCACCCTCCTGTAGTTTAACATAAATTTAATACATCATATCGTAGCATTTGAAGACACACGACACGTCGGGATGGAAAAAATTGAACCACATTTGAACAAACAAGGTGCAATGACGAATCAATCAACAAATGTCCGGATCATAGCATTGCAATGATGTTAATGCAAAAGCACACATGCAATGTTGGAACCAATAAACAAATCGTGAAATCATACATTTCAGTAATAGTAATGGGAAACACACGTACGATGTTGCAACGACGGATCAATGAACAAAACCATGACATCATAGCAGAACAGTATTTTTAATGCGCAACATACGTGCAATGTCGGAACCAAATTTCAACTTACAAAACTATAGAACAAAGGAACTACCATTCCCGACAGTTCATCGGTGGACAGGCTCATTTGTCGAGAATTACTGAGGCTAACTGTCGGGATCGATAGTTCATCTGTCGAGATTTTCTGTTGCGAACTGTCATGAACGACACTTCCGTAGTAAGTGATTTAAGAGGAAATGCAGGTAGGAAAGTTAACACTTCATGTCGAAGGACAGATATGGAGAGTGATAATGGAAGAAGCTTGAACGTAAATGCAAATATGAGAGGTTACAAAAAGGTTGAAACCATAAATGGGAAGAAGCTGAATGGGATTCATGTTGACGAGAAGCCATTTTTATGCCAAACGAACACTTACAAAATTAAAGACAGCAGCATAGAAGAGCCAAATCATGAATACCTTGTTGGCTTTATCATACCGACATGGTTTAGTTTTTAGCAGATTTCCCAATATAAGATCCCCAGTTCCTTCTAAAATAAACATGTTTTTTGTCTTTCTATAATTGTATCTAGTTTTCCTGATTCATGAATGCTTCGAAGAGCATCATCTCTCCTACTAAATATAATATTACTTCAGAAACCAAAAGTTACTAAAAATAAGTTGTTGCTAATTAATTTGAGCACAAGCTTCTTTCATTTATGAAGTTACAAATTTTACATTAATGAACGTACAAGTCGGCCAGTTCCATAAACGATACTGCAAGAAAGAACAAAGTTTTACAAAAACCAAAAACATTAAGAACGATTTTAGACATCGATACATGAAATTAGAACAACTAAGTTCGACATCCCCTTCTTCTAAAAGGACTTCTAGGAGGACAAAAATAATTTCAATTAGCTTATTAAATTTCATTGTATACGGACATTAGAGTGTAGATGAATGTACTATTAGAAGAAACAAATAATAATCTACCTTTGTGTCATCTGCAACAATCTATTGTCGTTGTAGGGGTGAAGTATTATCTACACTAAATTCAAGCATAACCCAAGAGCTTGGGACACCGTTTGGTAATTTTCCCTTTTCTCAAAGAGACTTTCGAAACCCAATAACTGGAGGATTTTCTATTCTACTTAATCAACACATAAAATTATTTCTCCAAAGATATGCAAGAGAACAAGCAAACATAGCGAAAACTAAAAGTTTAAATTATTTCTCCAAAGATGCATCAGCATTTATTTGCAAAATAGAAAGAGCCTTCTTTTATTTACCCATAATTTTATACACCCATGGAACTCTTTACAACCAAAAATCAAAAGTTTAAAATCAGTAACAGTGCCCCAGAAACGAAAAGGGGCTCATATAGATTTCAGATACACAACAATGAGGGTGTTGACTAGCTTGAAATTACAGTCAAAGATCCAAACCTAAATGAACAATAACAATACGTAGACCAAAAACACACACATCTACCCATACTACATATATACATACCGTATTTACGAAGGCGGCTGGAGATGGTCTTTTTGTGGATGGCGAAGAGAGGGTTCTTCTTCGGGTCGACAAGCCGATGATGCAGTTGGTTTCATTCCCTCCCCTACAGAAATCTGTAGTAGATACCTCAAATCTCTGAAAAATAATCGTCGGCGGTGGACGTCACGGTGGTCGTCGCCGGGTGGGAGGGGGGCAATTCTAGTGAGAGAGGAGAGTGCGTGAGAGAAAAGGAGTGCGTGAGAGTCGGTTTATTTCTTCTCGTTTCACCTCCTCCTTTTTTTCATTTTATGTTTTCAACATTGAATAAACCCCAAACCCTTACATGTCACAGGTTTTTCTACAATTTTTAATGGACTAGTCATATCACATTTAATGAAGGATATATAAAGTATTAAAATTATTCAAAGGGGCAAAACAGTCCGAATATGACATTTTTGATATGGTTTTAAAAAGGTGACATTTTTGATAATGCAAAGTGAAATTTTGACACCCAATGTAATTTCCTCTTGTTTTATTAGGGATTTTAATCTCAATAGGAAGGCTCTGATACCAATTGTGAATATTTAATTTCAATCATACTAAAAATCAAGAATCACCATATAATAAATTAAAAAAACGAATCCATACTTGCAGAAGCCATTACTGGTACGAATGATAGTTGTAATAGCAGCCAAAATCTTCCCCCTCCTTACTCCTCAAAAAATATTAGCTATCAATGAGATAAGCTAATAAAACATATGGAATGGAGAGAGAACCTAACGTTTATATATAAGAAATAATTTAAACCGTCCCATTACAACTAGAATTCTAATTAGGGTTTTATTTACGATCCACATACTTAAAATTACCACATCATATTAATTACAACTCGTAAAATGTAAAAGGCACAATTGATCACTTAATAAATTTGACTCAATCACAAATATCATTATGAGTCATACATCCAACCCGTAAAATTTGCAATCAAATGTGAAGCCCACATATGAAATTATTTCTACACAAACATCAAGGATCGACGGTAAAAGAGAGTGATGAAATGATCGTAGAGACTGATTTGTTTTTAAATTTCTAGTTTTAAGACGCTGAGCTTTCTTATTTAGAATGTTCATTCTTGTATACCTTGAAAAAAAAAAGGTAGAGAACAAAGTACTCATGTAAACAGCTCAATGAATCACAGTAGAAGGATCTACTTATTAATCATGACAATAACCCGACATAAACCATATTACAATTGCATAACAGGAACTTGAGAAATTAATGAACACCGGAAACTAATATATATGATAAATATTATCAAGAAACAAGTTCAATCATCATCACTATTCGAAGATAAACTTTTTATTACAAACAACAACTGCAACACACATAAAACGTACTTAAATCTCTCAAAGAAACACACATAAAATCAAGACACGATGCACCACAAGAAGCTATATCACACATAGGACTATCGTAATAAAAGAAGTGGCTGTTCCATGAGCCAATGCACATAGCTCGAAAGGAACAAACACGTGGGTGAGTGAAGACCCATTAGATTCACGCACAAACTCCTTTGCTACTAGTTTAGCAGAGGAGATAGGACATGATAAGCAGGCATTTCTGCACTTACTTCCGTATCCCAGCTAAGCTTAGTAGCCACGAAATAAACTCTGTTAGGAGATTGCTTAACGAGGAGATTAAAATGGACTGGACAGCATGTGTCACAATGCTTCTTTTCTCCTCACTCTCTGGCGGAGATGCAGGTTGTTCTGAAATTTCAAGATCGTCTGCAAGGGGGAAAAAAAATTATAATAATAATGATAGATTGAAGAGTTTCCTGCTCTTATAACCCTACCATGTAATAGGTAAATGGACACAATCAAATACCAAAAAGCTGTCCTTATCAACAAGAACATATTAACTAACCCCTTAAGAGTCCAATCAGCCAGGAAAATTTTGGAGAAGGGGAATAGAACTGAGATAAAATTGGAAAAATGGGTTAAGAGTTCGGAACCTTCTGCAAATTGGAATGAGAACCAAGTGAAGTCTTAGGTCGACGCAACTTCAATATGGCATGGAAGACTAGGTAAAAAGTATTATTGGTGGATTGATTGAAAAATCGAATCCGTGCCTGGTTGTCATGTTGATCCTTGACTTGGTCCTGGTCTTGGTCTTGGTCTTGGTCATAAAGAGAGGATGCAACAAAATTTGATACAACAATCATTCGGTACTTGAGCTATTAGCTTCATTAAAGAATTACCAACTCAACAAGACAATAAACAGCCCAAAATTCAAATGGTTAAAGTGAAGAGTGAAAAGCAAATCCCAAATCCGTTTTGGCCATTTTCCTCTCACACCCTTTAATCAACGAAGAACAGTCAAACAAAGAAGAAAATAAACTATGCCATAAGTCTTTGTTCATTACTCTAAAATGGTACAATCTACATCGTAACATTGCCATTTTATTGGTGTTGATTGTCCACTTGTTAATTATTGGTTCGTGATTTTTTTTGTTCTGGAACAGTAAGTTTTTGTTGGACACAAAAACTGATAAGCGATTACAGCCAATTTATATTACATTAAGTTCGAGATGCAGTTTTAGGCTTTGCTTGAACTTTTATTAATCACGACATGTAAAAACATAAACAAATATTTAAATGTCATTTTTGCAATGAAATAATAAATATATTTTTTAATAACATGAACGGCACACCATTTTAAAATATCGCAAAGGTCACACAAAATCTGGCACCGTCCACGGACCGATTTGAAGGTGGCAATTGCACAAGATTTTAGAATGGAAGCTCTACCTTCCTACTAAAGAATAAGAGATCCAGCCCATGATACTTCAGAAACTGAGGAATATACTGACATCCCAAAGTAATAAATTCATGCAGTCTCCTTCAAGTAGCGAGTGGAAAGTGACCAAAAACGATAGAAATACTACACAAAGTAAGAGAAAAAAATTAATACCAGTAGATTGAGCTCGTTGAGACGGAACAGAAAGTGGAAGACGCGTTGGACCCCATGGTCTCAGGTTCCCTATTCCTCCCCTTCCACTTGAGGGCCCTGCTTCTTCCTGTTTAGGACCATAACTCTGTCCCTGAACTGAAAGCTGGAAACCATAACTCTTTCCCTGAACTGAAAGCTGGAAACCACGAACAGCACCGAAATTTCCCTGAAACGGTGGCCAAGTCCTCCGTTGCTGATGTTGGGGAAGACCCGAGTGACTCCCAGCTCTCACTCTCCCTCTTCCACCGCCTCGACCCGGACCCTGTTGTTGATTTTGATAATTACCACCTCCACCGCGACTGCGACCACCGTCACGGTCACGGCTATCGATGTTTTTGCCACTATCCCGTGTATCCATTCTCTCAGTAATGCACTCGAACTCTCAACTTGACTTCAGTAGACCAACCAGAGAAAATGAGTCAATATGTCTTTATAGAAAAGTTTGTAAGGTTTTTACGAGATGACGAAATTAACCTAGGGCAACTCTAGAAGGATCGGCTAAAGCAGGGAAAGTGGGAGCGGGAGTGGGTCCTCCAATGGAGAAAATTATGGCAAAACTTGCCGTCTAAGTTTGCTTTTTGGGAGATATTTTATGGATTAAAGCTGATGTACAGGAGGGGGTTGTCTAGAATGCTCACATGGCGGTGGATTCCAAGTAATTAAAATAGAGAGAATTATTAAAATAGTTAATTTTTGACTTTATTTTTGTAAAAATGTCACTTTTTTTTTTATATTATAAGAATGTCAATTTTAGACATATTTGATCTTAAAGTTAATTTCAAATACTCTACATATCCTAATTAAATAAGATTTGACCAATCAAACAAATTGTACAAAATTCTACAAGATCGTCGGTGGAAATTGAATTATTCAAGAAAAAATGCAGAGGAAAAACGAAAATGTATGCTCCAATCCCTCATTCGAAGAACAAAAATGCCATGAAGGAAAGGAAGAGAAAATGAAATCCCTAAAACTCAATCTTCTCTGTGATGAAATCGACCACCGTCGGCGAACCCAAAATGCTGTGAAGGAAAGGAAGAGAAAACTAAATCCCTAAAACTCACCCCTCTTTGTGACGAAATTGACCACCGTCGGCGAACTCTCCCTCACCTAAAACGAAATCCCGAAAACTCTAAAACACACTCCTCAAACGACGTCACAAGTACAAAGCGCGATCTTCACACTGATCTGGTCTCTAGGTGTCGGCCGCCCACTGCCCAACACTATCCCTATGTACGTTAATCTGATTTCTGTGGTTGCGTTTGTTGTTTTTGCCTTTTGTGAAAAGGATTTATGGGGTTTTCTTTTTGGTGTTTATTTGTGTGTGTTTTTAGATGTGTTTGTTTATGGGTGTATTGTTTTTTGTGGATTGTAGGTGGAGATAAAAATTGAAATTGATTGCAATCGACGTCCATCGTCAATCACTCCACTGCCAAGCAAGACTGTCAGTAATATGTTCAGGTTAATGTTTTCTTTGTCTTTTGCATATTGTTTTTTGGAAAAAAGAGGAAGTTCTTCTACATTGTTGAGTTAGGAACGTAAATTGATGTTTTCGGAAGAAACATGGCTATTGAGACTGATTTTTTACCTATGTTCACTGCCGTAGAAGGTGATTATAACAGTGATGATAATATGGCTGCTGCTAAGAAAGATGGTATACATGAGTTGAGTAAATCCTCGAATGGTAAACCTGCAACAAATATATGTGTTGTACGGCATCACAAGCGCTACAACACTAGTCTCACCATTTGATTTGGTAAGTGAACTATGTTCATCAATGAAGCTTCAATCTTGTATGGTTCTATTAATCAAGTTTGAAGTTGCCGGTTTACTAGTATGTAGTTTTTTTATTATTGTTATGTAATTGTCGTTCCAGTTCTTATTTTAGTACGATGTGTGAGTTCCAATACTTGATTTTAAATTATGAAGTGAATCAATTGAAATTATAACATTTAGTTGCAAAGATAGATGAAGGACGTTTTTTTAAATTTGTATTCCACTTGTGAATGCTAAAAGAATATGCTACAATGATGAATGAATTAATTGCAGATCTGGGTGAATATTCATGTGATTGTGCATGTGTTCGTAACTTCTATGATCCTCCATTCTGGAAATTATCCTCTTATACAAAAGCAAAGCTTTCCTTTTAGCAATAGCTACTTTAGTTGCATATTTTATAATTACGGATGCCAGCTGTTTATGTATATTGTTAAAGACTTAATCACCCACTGGACTTTATCGTGTTGTATTTGGGTTTCTTGCAATGTTGACATGTTCTATTTGAGTTCTTGTTGAATCTATTTTAAATGCACCACGATTGACTATCAACCACAAAATATAGAGCATGTTTACAATTCAGTTTACATGCTAAGTTTGACTGTTGTCAAAAGAAGAAGAAAAAGAATATACGTACAACATATATTAATTCTCTACAAAAGTTAATTTTTTTAACTTACAATATTTATATATGCCTACTTTCGATAAAGTTCCACGTATGATGTTAAAAACTTACCTAATGAAGTCAACTGCTTATTTTTTAATACATTATTAACTTATTAAAGTTAAAGTTCAAGAGAAATGAATATGATTGATACCCAATTCTAAACCTATTGCCATGACTAAATAATATGATTAATGACATCAGCAATTTAAAATTGTTTAATAAAATAAATTTGAAATATGTTTTTGTTCCTTAATCTATACGGCAAAAAGACTTCCACTCCACAAAGTTATTAAGAAGATTAATGGTAATCCGTGTGATCACAAAGTGGACGGTTAATTCTAGTATGTACACAATTGTCGCGTCTAGACCAAAACAATAATTCTACTTTTCTTCATTGTATTTTCATTTTGGAGATGTCCGACTTACCCCAGTAGATTTAAATTGAGTGGTTTTAAATCCATTACACGTAATTTAATTATAACTAGAGAAGACTAAATCGTTTTCAAACGAGCTTACAATCTTTATCTACAAATTTCTAGGTGAACTTTGGGATAATAAGGATATTTGGACCTTTTCTATGTGTAGTAGTGTTATTCGTTAGAGGTATTATAGCACTAAAGAAAACCAAAAAAAAAAATGAAAGAAAAATTAAAATTACAAGTAGATCGATTCTAACATTTTTAAGGAGTAAGAGATTTGAACGCACTTCCTGTAATAGAACATTCCAACCACAAAATGCACCAAGATTGTTTGAGTTCTTATTAAGTGTGTTTTACATGCACCACGACTCGCTATCAACCACGTTTAAGAGGATAGCTATCTTCGAAATTGTCTGAGCATTCGAACTTCAAAAGTTCATGAGAAATCAAGTGCTCTCTATGTTAATCTTGTTTTCGAATTCTAGTATGGAATTAGAGTTTATATACACTACTCATGTCCTAGCTAATGTTTCTGTACATATTGGCTAGGATTATCATCTTGGGGTAATAGAAATCAAATGTAATTGTATGCCATTTGCGTTTGTTAGTCACTAATACATTTAGTTATTGTACGTAACTTGATTATTTTCTGTATCACTGTTCAATCTCTTCTGTCTTCATTTGCTTGCATCAAGCAAGAAGAGAAAGTAAAACAATATTAACAGTGGGATAATTCTAATTATTTTGTTGTAGGTTTTGAAAATGATATAACTTTCACTTCATATGACACGTCTATTTGCAGTTGCACTTATTTTATGGCTCCTTTCGAATGCCAAGCTTAAATATTGTCATGGTGCTATTTCGTCAGCTATGGTTGAATTTTAGTTTGATTTATTAGAAAAAAATTGGGGATTGAACAGGATAAGGGATTTAACCATTATAAATTAGCTTTAATATTACTTTTGGTTATACTTGATATACACTTTCAGTTTATAATGCTTAGTAATTAAAATATTTGGAGATTGGTATTGAAGAAATGTGGCAATTTGAACGTATGCTCCTCTTCAATACGTTTTTTATGCGCAACATTTCTTTCTCTTGTTGCAGAACCAAACTTTGCAGAGTGTCGAGGAAGAAAAGAGACTTATCTGTCCATAGCACTTTGCAAATCTACAACTAGACGTGGTGAAAGTACTTTCTTTTCTCTTGTTTTTGTGATGTACAAATATGTATTGAACTTAGCACGCAAAAGAAATTGACAAAACAACTTGCTGCTTTGCATATCTCTTAGATTGCTCGGTAAGCAGTCGCATCATTTGATGTTTTCGATGTAGTTATAAAGGGAAAACTATTCTTGTTTGCTTGCCTTCTACGCTAACGGTCATTTTTTACTCGGTTGTTTCGATGCGTTTACATTTGTACTTTTTTGCTCGGCGATACTGATGACATTGTAGAATTAACATCTACGTTTTCACCGTCATTGTGATTTTTGGGATGACTGGATTTTGGCATATTCTACATTTTGATATAGGGCACCATGCATATGTAACACATATTTATGATCACATTGTAGCATTAACATCTAAATTTTCAAGTGTTTTGTGATTTTTTGGAAGACTAGTTTTCGGCTGTTATGTACCAAGTTTGTGTGTTGGGGTATCATGCATACGTATCACATGTTTCTGTTGAAAACTGTCGTTCCCGACATTTGACTGCAGTATTTCTCGACAGTTGCGTGAATCCTGACAGATGAACTGTCGTTCCCGATAGTTAGCTGCAGGAATTCTCGACGGATGACAGATGCCACTATCCTGCCAGACGAGTGCAGTCATCTGTCGACACAGGTTTCGGTGACAGTGTCTCAACACATAACTGTGGACACTGACGACATTGCACGTGCGTTTAGAAATAACATGTCTGTCCAACATTCATATCTCATTAAAGCACGTATTTTCGCACATTCAAAATATTTTTAGTAACAATTTTTTTGAGTTGAAGATTGCATGCACAATTCGCCAAAACATGTTTGTACAGTTTAGGTAGATGGTCTGTTCTTATATGTTTCTCGTATTACTTGTTCCGATTAAAGTGGTTGTATGCTCTTCGAAAGTCCGCTTGTTCTTTGAAATATTCATTTGCTGTTGATTTATGGTATGACCATTATCGTTTCATCTGCAGAATAGATGGAATTTCAATTTTGGTTGCCCGAGAATGTACGGTTGTCCGGGCGCATCTCGCAACGGAGCAACCTAAAGTACATTAAAACAGTGATCGATCACTTGGACGACAGACTGCAAGCTGACTTTCGCAACTCCTGCCTTGGGTTTCTTGTTGACGTTCCGAAAATCTAGTTTTCATCTCAACTAATCCAGGCACTTGTGTGTCAAGTGATCCGTTGCGATAAGTCCCACGAGTTATGGTTCAACGTCCAAGGCCACCTTACTCGATTTAGACTGCAAGAGTATGCTATCGTCACTGGACTGCATGCTGACTCGTTTCCGGAGGGCGATCGGTACACAAAAGCATTGGAGAAGAGAAGGATGAAGGAAAAGTATTTCAAATCGCTGGAGAAGATTTCATGTGCCCAGTTGGAGAAGACCTTCGT